CTGTGTGTCTATAGTCAAGGAAATTAACAGAAAGCTTCCTCTCTTATGTTCAGTTTGAGTACAGGTGTTTGTGAGGACAGGTGTGCAGGAAGTGGGTTTGATATGAAGGGATGCAGTGTTTTTCTGTGGCTCAGCGCTAACGCTAACTGTCGCTCATTTCCAAGTCAAATGCCAGGCAGGTAAACAAATGAGCAGAAGACCTATCGACCTTTATAAAACCAGATAACATCACATCTGCCAGGTATAGATTTACCACCACAGCATTTGGTTTTGATACAACATCAAGAACAGGGTCTTTAAAACTTGTGGGGGAAACTTCTGAAGCAATTGGAGTCAGGACTCAAAGAGAGACACGATGGAGAGCTGGAGCTTTGATGGCAAACACTGACGGTTTATTTGGAGCTTCGGCCGGAGAATTCACAAGACAAGTCACGGGCCACGGTCTGACCACATGGTTGAGATGCCACAATCAATTCTGAAGACCCCTCCTGTAGCTCCAGGTTTTAACTAGTTCAGAGTGTAATGATCAACATTCTTCAATGGATAGACTAAACAGCTGAGGACACTGAATCACATTTGTTGTCGCTTATGGCTCTGGGTCATCGACACCCCGAGAAGGATGTGTTCCAGGTGTCCCACATCAATAACTATCTCTGACCGAGAGTTGCCCGGTCACAAACTGGTAACATCAACAACATGCTAAGGCAGCCCCTCCTTAAGGGAGATAGCGACTGCCCTAGGTTGAGCATCTGCGTCAGAGGGCGAAAGGTAAACATGTATACAGAATTATTCCCTGACAAAACTAATTTCACAAGAGCATTTACTAACCCCTCACATTACGGGTAAATACAAATTAACTAACAGATATCAACATGAAACGTCCCATCATCATTACTGACCTTAACACAGTTACTTTTTATATTACAAAGTTTTCTGACATGTTGTGTTTAAATATGTTAATAAGGCATTATGTAACGCTAAATCGGGGCGTTTATAGTGCTGCAGATAGCTGGAACAATCCTTCAAATCCAAATTCAAGTCCACGTTCATTCCTCTGGGGCCATTTATTAAAAAAACGACTTGTATTTTGAATATTGCGACCGCTCTCAAGGCGAGGAAACAGTATTTTACCACGTTTTAACAGTTTTAACCACTAGATCAACTTCAGGGATTATGGTATTGAATGATTTGTTTATGAAGCTTCTTTGTGTCATTTTAAACACAAAATGTTAAAATGTGGGGCTTATTAGAAAGAATTGTTGACACTAAAAACCACATTAATGCTAATACTAGTCTTCTATGTTAGCATAATCAGTTAGCCGACACCAGTACTTCCTCCAAGCTTCTGAGTACGTCCTGACGTCTACATTTGGTTTCAATGTGGTTAAAATGTAGTTCCTGTATCCACTTTACAGACGCAAACAGACAGAGGCAAACAGACAGACGCAAACAGACAGAGTGAGTAAAACAACCTCCTGAACATGATTTTTATTTACATCAATCTAAAATAAGTCATGTTATGGTTGAAAATCAGCCATGCTAACAACTTAGCCTATAAAGCTAACAGTCTTAAGGTTGTTTACGTGGTTTGTTTCCTGGTCAGCGTCTCGTCTTGTCGTCACGATGGCTTCCTGTCAGGAGTTCGAGGTGACGGTGCTCACCTCACCTGGTCTCACCTGTGGGACCTTCAGCCGCCTGTGGCTCAATCTGATTGGCTCTGAGGGCGAGACTCCGCCCATCGTCGTGAACGAGGGCGACCGCCATCTTCTGCCGGGGTCGGTGAGTTTCATGGAGACATAGAAAAGAAAGAGACTGTTCCAAGTTGCCGCCGTCTTGGATTTTTTTGTGGCTTTTTTTTCACAAGAGTTTATTTTTCCAATTGTAGTTCTTCTTTTATCCACTTGGTGTCCATATTTACACTGAACGATGTCTTCTCCTGTCCCGTTCAGTCGTGGGCGGTTCTGGTTCGGACCGAGGCTCCTCTGGGTCGCCTGCTCCTGGTCCGGCTCCGTCTGGACGCTCGGACCGGCTTCCCCGACCTGGACTGGCACTGCAGCCGGGTCGAAGTCTGCAGGCCGTCAGAACCAGAGAAAGATCCAGAACATCAGGTGTTTCTGTGCGACCAATGGCTGCGACCAGCAGGGGGCGACGTGGAGCTGCGCAGCGGAAAGTGTACGTTAACTTTAGAGGAGAAGAGGAATCTTTAAAAATAAACTTTCATTTATATTTGTACTCATCCATGGCTAAAACATGCATGTAAAAATAATTATGATTAAGTGTATATATTACACATTACAGGTTTATCGCTGTGAAGGTGTCACTTTGGGCTCTTCTGTGATTGTTTAATATTTAAAACTCTTCTTGTATAATTCCTCCTCAGTGTGTTTGCTGCAGGACGAGACCGAGGAGAAGCTGAAGCAGCAGAGACTCAGACATCTGCAGAACCAACAGAAGATCATTCGGTAAAACAGAAAACATACAGTCCAACAGTCTGAGAAAC